TGTTTTGAGAAGAAAGGCCATGGATTCACCAATGAATAAAAGGGTTTGGTTAAGGATGAAAGCCCCTAGGGCATTTTCAGTAGATTTAACCCATTTTACATCATGGAAGCCCATATACAGAAATTCAGTAGATTGTAGGGAGCAATGAAATCTTGCATGGTGATATTAATATAAGGAAAGATATTTGTAAATGCTACATATAATCTTGATTCTGTCACCTAAAATACAAATAAAATATTGTGCATTTTTTCCATATTGGAAAAGAGGTTCATTTTCTTTTTTTTTTCTTTTCAGAGACAAGGTCTTGCTCTGTTGCACAGGCTGGAATGCAGCAGTGTGATCATAGCTTACTGCAACCTTGAACTCCTAGACTCAAGCAATCCTCCTACCTCAGCCTCCTGAGTAGCTGGGACTACAGGCATGTGCCACCATGCCCAGCTCATATTCTTATTTTTATAGAGATGGGTCTTGCTGTATTGCCCACATGATCTCAACTCCTGACTTCAGCATCTTCCCCCATTCGGCTCCAAAGTGCAGGATTACAGGGATGACCACCCACGCCCGACCTCATTCCTCTTACATATCTGCCATGAGCAGAAGCTTACTTCTTTTTTTTTTTTTTTTTTTTGAGACAGGGTCTCACTTGTGTGCCCGGCTAGAGTGAGTGCCTGGCATCAGCCTAGCTCACAGCAACCTCACACTCCTGGCTCAGCAATCCTTCTGCCTCAGCCTCCGAGTAGCTGGGACTACAGGCATGAGCCACCATGCTCGGCTAATTTTTTCTATATATATATTAGTTTGCCCAATTAATATTCTTTCTATTTATAGTAGAGTGGGGTCTCACTCTTGCCAGGCTGGTATACGAACTCCTGAAGAAGCTTACTTCTTCATCATAGCTACCATCAACGAACACAAAACTCTATGAACATATCTAATACTGGGGTTAATTCAACCAGCCATATGGTAAGAAGGATAATGAGCAGACATTTCTGATTTGGCAGAAGAGTTAGTTTACATGTATGCAGTTGAGGTCCAATGGCTTCCACCTAAACATCTTATACCAAAAGATTCTGAACATACTGTTTGGCATAGTCTTCAACGTGGAAATGTACTTAATAGAATTACTTGAATTCATAATTAGATATTTAAATTTCGAGGAAAGCATAAAAAATGGATAGTTGATAAGCAGAGAGGTAAGTCTAATGTTACGATCTAGTGTAAATATAAAAATTAAATCCCTGAATGTTTTTATCAAAGTGTTAGGTCTGAAAGCCATCATTGTGCTCCTGCGGTCTTTTTCTTAAATAGAGAACCATGTCTTCTGCTTTTACATCCTTTCCAACTCCACAAAGAGAAGAAAGCTGTTATCTGGGCACATCTAAGAAAGTCTATGCAGGCGGTCTACGCTTTGCATAATGCACAGAACCATAAAATGTCTGCTTGCGACACCATGCAAAGTGATCTTCATAATCATTGGGGAAAAGTACAATTTTTCTGTGACCTTTAAAAATTTGTCAAAAATTCTTTTTTAAAAGCATGTATCTTAAAGTCTTGGAAAGTGAAAACTAAATTAGGCAATGAAAAAATGTCCAAGTTTAAAGCTCTGTTAAATGCATAACAAAAATAAAATAACATTTATAGAACTAATATTATAGACATAATTTAAACAGTGAAACACTAATGATCATTTGTTTCTTTGTAATAAACCATGCTCGCCTTCTTTGATACAATTTATCATATAGAGCAAGCATCTTTTACATATCCTGTGCAATTCGTCTTACTCTTTCTAAATTCACTTCCAACATCTATATTGTGTTTCCAATGTCATTATCTCCAAGAGTCCTCAATGTGAAGTTTTCACCAGTGTCACTTCCTGGGAAGACACATCATCCCTTTTCATCCCTTTCCCTCACTATGTTAATGCTTCCCTTCACAGTTTCTCTGGCTGCACATCAAGTCTGTGGAATAGCAGCAGTGCAACACTCCCATATCAGCTACTCTGTAACTATTTGCATTCTACTCAAATTGTACTTCCTGCCTATCAGTCTCTGTTTTTTGGCTGCACATCATCTATGTTGGTCAATTCTCTCAATTATCTACATACTACCTGAAATGCATGTGGTTATTGCTGGAGATAAGAGGCAACAAGCACACACTTTGCTGTATGTGAAATGTAACGAATGCATGGTGATCATCACACGCCAACTTTGAAAAATGAGTGCTGTTCACTAATCATCATGCATATGTTTATTGTAGTGATTTGTGGATTGAAGAGCTAACAGCAATTATTTTACTAGTAAAATAGTAAATGAAATGTGAATATTGAGAAACTGCTGTTCTAACTGTACCTTGATAACTGAAAGTCATGCATGTTAGAATCATGCCAAACAAGAAGTATTAATACCCTGTATTTAATACTCTAGGGCCGGGAGCAGTGGCTCACGCCTGTAATCCTAGCACTCTGGGAGGTCGAGGCAGGCGGATTGCTCAAGGTCAGATTCGAAACAGCCTGAGCAGAGACCCCGTCTTTACTAAAAATAGAAAGAAATTACTGGCAATTAAAATATATTGAAAAACTTAGCCAGGCATGGTGGCACATGACTATATCCCAGCTACTCGGGAGGCTGAGGCAGAAGGATTAAGTGAGCCCAGGAGTTGAGGTTGCTGTGAGCTAGCTGACGCCATGGCACTCTAGCCTAGGCAACAGAGTGAGACTCTGCTCAATAAAAAGGAAAAAAAAAGAGAAAGAAAACTTCTAGGTCTCTACCTATTTTTCAATGTGCAGGACTAGATTTTAAAGCAATATAAAAAGATAAAATTGTCTGCACCCTGGTCATACTTTATTTGAAGCGCTGTAAATGAGCTCTACAGAGGATATCTCTGAAACTAACCTTTGCTCTACAATAGAAAAGGAAGGAATACAAGAAAAATGAAAAAGTGAGAAACATAGTTTTCAAATCTTTTAAAAGTAGTTTGCATTAATAACTTGCTTTTCGCCTTACCATTGTGAAATATGGTTAACCTGTGTTGTCCATTTTTAAAACTCTCAATATGTTCCATGGATAATTCAAAGTCTCTGACTACTTCTGAGGCTCCTTATTTAAGTTAGTATATATTTGCTCCATTCACTAATATTGTACAGATTGTCAAAAATAGGCCAGAGAAAAATATTTTTGTCTTCTAAAAATGACCTGTGCAGAAGACAGTATAGTTACAGTTAGCTTACAAAAACTAAATTCATTCTTTTCATTCCAGAAACCCAGTAATTGTATGAAACCAGGTATGTCTTCTTATGTATCAATGATGCTACTAAAAGGAAGAAAGTGTGAAAGTATTTTTTCTGCTTAAGTATACTATATAGTTCTCAGGTATTTCTAGCTTCCCTAAAACTTAAGTATAGTTTCTAACGTGGAATGGAGAGAGGGAGGCAGGTAAACTGACTTACCACCTATCAACAGAGTAAAGCCCAACACATAATGTAGCCTGCCCACCCACACACCACACACCACTTATGCACAGCATCCAGCCAGCATATTTGTACCTCTCAAATAGGGGCAGCCAAGGCTCATCAGACATTAAGGAAAGCTACCCCAGCAAAATAATACTAATCAAGGGAAAATGAGAGGATCATTAGATATAGGATATTGAATTGTATTAAGATATTATCTATGTGGCAGGCAATGCTCTAAACAATTTCCATATATTAACTCAATGCTGAGAGGAATCCAATGAGGGAGATACTATGTCTATATTTTGCCATAGAGATGACAAAGAACAGAAAAATTAACTTGCTTAGAATCAAATAGTAAGTAGGCAATAGAGCCAGACCCAAGAGTCTATGTTTTTCACTTCTACCATACACTATAGCTCATCATGAAAAAGGGAGATCAAAATGTATGGGCTGAGGAAACAGAATGAAGGGAACAGAAGAAAACATGGGAAAAAAATTAAAGCTATAATTCATATCCTGAGAGATGTGATAAGATACTGCCTCTATAGAATAACAGCAAAATTATATGAAATAAGACCCATGAGAGAATCAAGAAGTCTCGGAGAATAAAATGGAACAAAACCTGGAATAAATAGTGAATAAAAGATTAGAAAAAAGAATCAAAGAAATCTTTTCTTCAAAGTAGAACTAAAATACAATCTTAGAAGTTATCAGTAGAAGAGGTTCAACAATGGACTAACAAAAATTGCAGAATCAGAACAAAGAAAATGGGAGAGGGGAACTTACCAAATAAAATTTCCCAGAATGAAGAACTTGAGTCCTTCCAAATACCCTAATCAAAGAATGAAAACAGGCCCACACCAAGGCACGTCACCATCGAATATCAGACTGGCAGGAAAAAGAAAAGTTTCCAGAGAAAAGAAGAACATAAGGCACTAGATTTCTCAATGGAACACAGGAGGCTCCAAGACAAAGCAGCGGAGCCTGCAACATCCTAGGAGAAATTCACACCAGTCCCATTACAGGCAATTTTAGAAATGCAGGGAAGTAAAAAGTTGACCTCTTATGTTCCCCTTCTTAGAAGGATACTAGAAAATGGACCACAATGAAAGAAACATAAGTTAAGATAGGAAAACAGGGGATCCAGGAAATAATGGAAACAACAAAAAGTCTACAAAAGAGATGACAGTCATAGCAGAAAAATTATAAGGCAGATAAAATGAGCAAGAATCTGAAAAAACTACAGATACAAAAGGAAAATTAGGCAAGAGAAAAATATAAGGTAACAATTAACTCAAGGTGGAACCAAAAGCTGTACCACAAAGGAAATTTTATCACAATACATCTAGCTTTACAGGTTCAGATGGTGATATAACCATTTGGAAGGAATCAGAAAGAGGAAGGGAAGGAGGTATAGCTTATATCTTCATTTATCATGAAGGAATGCAATTTTGATTCAACATTTAATTACTGATAAACATCAATTATTACTCAATATGCAAATTAACTTCTAAATCTCGTAATAGTAAGTTTTTAACCAAGGACATATGTTCCTTTGATAATTTTTCTTTAGTTTATTGATTGAAAGCATTTTTTTACAAAAAGAAACCACAGAACGGATATAACTGTATTTTGGAAGTCCAGGCCTTCATCCCTTTTTCCTGGTTCTTTGTATTCAAAGATACTGTTTAGCGGGTTCTGTTCTTCATTTTCTCTCTTGTTCGTTTTCCAGGTCTCTTCTACAGAAAGAGAAAAACCACATCTGGTCACACAGCAGCTTGAGAACACAGAGGAAGAAAGGAGAGGGCAGCTGTGGGGTGGGACAGGAGGCTGGGCTGCCGCTCACCCGGGCACCCAGCTCACTTACATTTGATCCTTTCTTCCCAGGTCTCTTGAGGCCCCTGCCATGAGCTGTCTTGGCCCGGAAGCTAGACACATCATCGTGGCTCTCACGAGTGTTCCACTTTGAACCTTTCTTCTTTCCACCAAAACCAAATTTCTGGTTTTTATATCGTCGTTTAGCGCTGGGCCTGGACAAAAGTGATCCTATGGGTTACTTCAGCACTGGAAAACGTGATGAATCTTATGGCCCAACAATGCCCTCAGTCACCTTTCTGTGAGCAAAGCCCCTTGGGCACTTCGCTAACCCAGAATTTCAAACTTGGCCCTACGACCTTATTCTATAAACTCTCCATGCAAGGTCATGTTGCTTATCTATTTGCCTTTCTAACCACCAAGGCAGGAAAGCAGAGCAAGAAGCAGGAAAGGCTCTATATGTACTATGTGGCTTCCTGCTGTGTTTGGAAAGATTTCTATTTTAACTAAATATGGCTAAATCATCATCAGTTGTTTCTAGTCCTCCCAAGGGTATATACATGCAGCTAACATTCAAATGTAATATATTGTAAAACTGGTCATCCTACAGGAATCTAAATGCAGCATCTCCCAAATCACATGTCATCTCCCTTCCTGGACTGGCTTTCCCTCCTGGACATATGCCCTACCTTGAGTTTGGTGCTGCCACCATCTACCCACCCCCCAGGCCAAACACCTGGGAGTCACCTTGATTCTTCCTTCTTCACTTCTTCCTTCCTCAGTCTCTATGCCCAATTCAATTACTGAGTCCCGCTAACTTAACCTCTTAAATCTTTCTTCAATCCATTTTCTCTTTTCCCTCCACTACCACTTTCGGGTCATGATCATTGCTCATCTGGACTTTTGCAAAAGTCCCTCCTCAATTTACCTGCTTTCTTCTAATCCATCATTTACACAAGTAGCCCTGTAATCTTTTAAAGACATGAACATGACCTGCCCACTGTCGTGCATACAACCCATGAGTCTCCCCACTGCCTACAGACAAAAGCCCAAGCGCCTCGACAAGGCAGACCAACAGCCCAGGTCCCCCAGCCCCATCACTGCACGCCTGGCCTCGCAATGGGCTCTCAGTGACACCAACGCCTGCTGCTCCTGACACACAAACCTCTCTTCATATCTTTACACCTCTGCTCATTCTAGTGCTTCCTCTTTGCCAAAACTGGCTTCTCTCCTACTCTCCTGGTCAATTCTTACTTATCCTTCAGACTGAGCTTGGGTGGGACCCTCCTCCAAGAAGCTATCCCCAGATTGTGTCGGCTATTTCTAAAATGTGTCCATAGTACTCCCTAAGTGTGTCCATCACTGCAGTTACTATATTATACGGAAATTATCATGTCCCCTAGGCCTGGTGTCCGAGAATGCAGAAAGGTGGACTAGAAAGATAACAGCCAACGTTTTCCCTTTTAATCTTCATAGTACTATGAGGTACATACTATTTCCTCATTTTAGGAGTTGAAGCTATTAACATTTAGACAGGCACAGTGACTTCCTCATAGCTACCGCCCTATTAATAGCAGAGTCTGTACTCTTAACTATCACACTGTGTGGTGGGGAATCAACACTTACTCAGCAGTCACTACAGTGTGCCAAATACTTAAAATGACCTTATTTCGACCTTCAAAGGCTGACATGGCTAAAAGACCCATCCCACATCATTATAAGTCATGGCCACAGGCAGCAGTTGCATCTCCCGATGCTGAGGCTGCTCTGTGTGGAGCTGCCCGCCACACTCAAGAGCTGTTGGCCTTTTACACAGCACAAAACCAAACCAACCAAGAAGAACAGTCTTACCCCTTCTTCATCTGCTGGCCTTTAGCTCCTGCCTTCTTGTCCCGTGAAATGGGTTTCTGATCTCCCTCAAGGAAATCCAGTTTATCAGAGAAGCCTGGGAATGAAGAAGTATTATGATCAGCACCATTATATTTTAAGAAAGCTTAAACTTCAAAATTAGTCTGTTATTTACTAAATTGATTTTAAAAGGCACATCTTGCTCCCCACTCAGTCCCAAAACTTAACTTCAATAGTTTCAAATCAATCAAGAAAGCTCCAAAGCACTAAGTGTTAAAATTAACTCTACGGTACCTGGTACATTTCTACCCGACATCCTTAACAGAAAGACATACTGACCTTTCTGATATTTCTTAATGGCATTCATCATATGTGCTTTCTCCTGCTGCCTCTTCTGAAGAACCTCTGTTTGCACCTGTAATATGGACCCAAGGACAGTTAAGTCCACTTCAAATCATGAGTCAAAGTGCCTACGTTCTCAGAAGAACAACTCTGTGATTAATACCACTACCATTTAACATTTACTATGTGCCCCCCAAAAAATATTATGGGGTCTAAGCATATGTTCAGTTTATCTTTATAACAATTCTGTGAAGTTGAATTTCTTATTCCCTAAACTGAAGCACCAAGAGGCAACCTAATTTGCCCAAGTCACAAGATAAGAAAACACTGAGCTGAGATTCACATCCAGGCTGACTTCAAAGCCTGCCCTGCTACCCTATTATTCAATCTTGCCCACAAAACTGTAGGAAATCATGCTTAGTCTACATGCAATTTTTCCCATTAATTGTATTTGGGCAGATTAAATATTTAACCCACTATTACTAGACAAGAAAGCCCCAAAAGAGAAGAAAAAAAAAAATATTTCCATAAAACAGATAGAAAGCTTCAACGACAAAAGGAGACACCTATTACCCTAACGCAGGATTTCTCAATCTGGACACCACTGACGTTGTGAACAAGATAATCCTTTGTTGGTGGTGGGGGCCTGACCTGCACTGCAGGATGTTTAGCAGCATCCCTGCCCTCTACCTACCAGATCCAAGTAGCTCCTTCCCCACAAGAGGAGAGAACCCAAAATGTCTCCAGACAGTGACAAAAGTCACCTGAGGAGCAATTCACCCCCAGTTGAGAACCACTGTTGTAAGGTCTCTTAAAATTAGAAATAGCTCTGGGAGGCCGAGGCAGGAGGATTGCTCAAGGTCAGGAGTTCGAAACCAGCGTGAGCAAGAGCAAGACCCTGTCTCTACTAAAAATAAAAAGAAATTAATTGGCTAACTAAAAATATATAGAAAAAATTAGCTGGCCGCGGTGGTGCATGCCTGTAGTCCCAGCTACTTGGAAGGCTGAGGCAGGATTGCTTGAGCCCAGGAGTTGGAGAGGTTGCTGTGAGCTAGGCCGACACCATGGCACTCTAGCCCGGAGAACAGAGTGAGACTCTGTCTCAAAAAAGAATTAGAAATAGTGAGCTAATAGGCCTAAGGTGTTGTTTTTTACAAATTGGGTTAGGTTAAACTAATTGCTGATCTCTTTGAGATAATCTCAACCATCCACCTCCAAATCAGAGATAAATCCACAGAAGATCTCTTATAGAGGACAGGACGCTAATCTATTCTTGTTTCACTGAGGATGTATCAGTGAAATGACCCCAAATGTGAACAAAAGTTCTCTGGCCCAGATCACAAGTGTTCATGTACAAAATGCTGACAAAGTCTTAACACCCAAGTCAATCCTCCTCATGTTCATTTCTTCACACAATCTTAACTTTAATTCCCATCATCTTTTTACTTGGGTGACTGAAAAATATCAAAGGAAAACCAAGAAAAGTTTTATGGTATGCCTGATCTATCAGAACTCAGACATTCATAGTTTGAACACACAGGCCACATTTGTTTTCTTTCAGACTGGATGACAATCATTAGTACAATTTCTTCAGTGACTTGACAATCACATAGGCCAGTGAGCCCCAAACCAGGACGCATATCAACATACCCTAGGAAGCTTTCTGGGTAACAGCAGAAAACACACAAAGATTCCCAGAGATTCTGAAGCCTAGATATTTGTCTTAAAAAGTTTCCCCAGCTGATTGTGCTGTGAGATCAGGATTAGAAACCTCTGATCTGGGCCCAACTCTTCGCTGCATGGGTGTGAAACTAGAGTCCAGAGAGGTGAATGGCTCTCTTACAGTCCCCACACTACTCCTGATGGCATACTGCTGTCAAAGCAAGATCGTGCTCATGAACACTAGCACATGCTCCACTGTGAGATAATAGATGCATGATCTAACATACAGGACATGGGGCTAAGAAGACCATGGCCATCTGATCTGACAAATACACTTGGCCTCATCCTGTTCCCTGCATATTTTCCTGCTTACCTTTTTTCCATATTTCCTAAGTGCTCGAAGTTGCTTAGCCTTTTCAGACCTCTCCATGGCAGCCTGTTTAGTCTGCAGCTTCTGTCGAATCTAAAAAACAAAAAGTTGTCAGTTTTTGTTATCTGAATCTGAGATGGCCACTACTTATGATGCACTGGAACAGGGAACAGATACTCCAAGTTCTGCAAACTGTGGAACTTGTAAACCATCTATCCCAACCCCTGTGTTTTACACATACTATGCCCAAGGGACCAAAAGTGTCGATGGTGGAACCAGAGATTCAAAGTGAACTTCCCACTCCCAGTGTGCTGTCTGGGAGGGAAGACTGGCTTCTCCCCATTCCTACTTTCCACACACTGAGGTTAAACCAGTGTGCAGACTCAGTTCTCTTCTCCAATGTACCACACACACAACAAACTCAAGCAGATGCCTGGCCTCCTCCATCACACCTACACATGTCAGTGAAAGGATGAGAAGCTGTCAGTGTGAACTTGCGCAGAATTCACAGTGAGAATTTGTACAGAGATACGTCTGGGCTCACCTCTAGATAAGCTTTCCTGGGTACCACCAAGACAAAAGCTCCCTAAAATCCACCTTGAGATGCAAGAGTACTATTAAAACATACAGTTGTCCCTTGGTATCCACGGGGGATTGGCTCCAGGACCCTCCCGCACACCAAAATCCACCAATGCCATAATATTTGCATGTAAAGACCCACTCACAGCCTCCAATATACTTCAAATCACCTCTGGGATTACTTGCAATACCTAACACAATGCCTAACCATCACTTCATTCTCATGAATTCAATGCAGTACTCAGCACATGGCAAATTCATGTTTTCTTTTTGGAACTTTGTGGAATTTTTTTTCCCAATTTTAATTTTGACTTGTGGTTGATTGAATCCACAGATGTGGAAGCCATGGATTCATAAGGCCAGCTGTATCTTGGATTGGATGTTGGCAATTCTCTTCCTCTCAAAGTTAAATAAGCATCAAGTTCTACCTAACTCTAAATTATACTACCTCTGAGCCACACATTAATCCTTCATTTTACAGAAGAGAAAACTGAGGCCCAGAAAAAAGTTACTGTCTACAATTCATAGCTCTGTTACCTGGCAATGGCCAGACAAGAACTGTTGCCTTCTCTACCCACCACGCATGACCATGCCAGCTAGGAAATGCAAGGGGCCATCTTTACCTTGGGAACCAAATTTCTCACAGTACTTATCCTCTCAATTGTTAATATTGAAAACATTGTCCTTATATTTATCTAACTGGTGGTGACTGGCATGACTCTGAAGTAGACAATCTCTGGAAGAGATAATTGTCCTCTGACAACACGCTCCCCATTTGGGGGCTTCTATCCAATAATGTATTAGGTATTATAAGTAATCCCAGAGAACAGCAAACTGAATACACTTGAGTACAGAGCCTTGGCTTTCCAGATAAAAACTTCCCTGTGTCTTACCTTCTGCATCTGCTGATCAGACTTGGCCATTTCTGCAAAATAATCAGTGGGCCTCTTGGTAGGGACTTTGAGCTGGTGGAGGCGGGGTAATACTGCAAGCACTGCGGCCTGGGCTTGACGGTAGCTGAGATTGCAGGACAAAATGTGAAATGAGGTAAGGGAAAGAAGTCTTACGTTCCTTCTCACTGTCTCTCATGAGTTATCCAAGCTCAGAAGACCTCTCAACATCTGACCTCCACTGGCAAGAATGAACAAACAAGAACTGGATTAAACCTCACTAATTTTGTCTAGGAGAAATTTAGCTGTACACCATTTTTGAAAGGGGGGTAGTGCTAAAATAAATTAGTATTTTAAGAGAATGACCCCTCTAAATGTATCTATTAACACACAAACTAATGTCATTAGAGATTCTTATGTAATCACAATAAAAGTCTACACAAGAACTTTCCATGAGCAAAGTTTCGTTCTAATAACAGAATGCACACACTCAAAAAAATTTTAACAGGGAATATTTCACAATAGCCCACAGACTGAATAATGACTGGTGGACCAAGGTGCTCTTCTCTCAACCAGGGAGAATCTCTTAGCTCTTCTTAGTCAAAAGAAGCAGTCCCCCCAATCATGGGCTTACACTAACTCCCTGGTCCTTGTGGAGTGCAGGTTCACTACTTTCCTCCCTACCCTAGCTCTAGCACAGGGACCCTCATCTCCAGAATTTGAAAACAAAGGACTCTCATCTTCTCCGGAATTTGAAAACAAACATACAAACTCATCTCCCGCTGGAAGTCGTCTTCTGGATTAACAGCTCTCTGGTCCTTGTTCTCAGGTGTTGGCACCTCAGATCCACTGACCTCCGGCACCGCAGCAAGGGTGACATCGAGCCTTTCAACCCACTCCAGATCCCGCTTGAACTCAGCCAAACACTGCTTCAGGCCATTCTAAGAAATTCAGACAGTGAACTCGTAAGGGAACCCTGAGTTTGTCTTTTCCAAGCTCACGGTACTAGGCCAATGGATAAAGCACTAACCCCCAATACCAAAACAGGTAACCAATTCTCTTAGCAATTGCGGGTTGCGTCTTGGGACAAGAATCGCTCTCTCGAGCACAACAGTGCCTTGTGAGCATCCACCTCCGCGCTCCCCGTGACCCGGAGCCCAAGCTCACCACGTCATTCACCGCCTTCTTCGGCCCCTCTAGCACGACATTGAGGCCTGGCTTCAGAAGCCCTCGGGAAAACGCATCCTGCAACTGCAGGACACAACTGCAGTCAGTACCAGAGGAGAAAGGCCCCCTCTCCCGCGCCCAGCCCGCGAGCTCGGCTGACACCTACCTCTCTGTCTGTGACAAGAGAATCGTCAGAATCCGAGTCCGAACCTGAGAGCGGTGGAGTGTCCATCTAGCAGCACTTATGTCCAACACCTACGTTAAACAACAGAGTAGCCCGAGGCCCCCGCGGCCGACAGAGGGCGGCCCTCGCCGCTGCCGCCTGCCTTCGGCTCCCAACTCTCACACCGCCGCTCCACGTGGACCCCAGCCGCACCAGCGCCAACAACCCACACCTACAGCTCAACTTTTTGATCGGAACTTCCGCTTCCGGCCTTAGACCCACACTTCCGGTTCGTCGTTGCTATAGGAACCACCCAGCGTTTGAAAGTGCCCGAGTTGCTCGGCATCCATAGGGGTGGTACCTCTTGATACGTGCGTGCTCTGGTGACCCAGAGAAGAAGCGTCAGGTAGGAGGGTACCTGGGGGTCTCCTGGAGGAAACAAAAGCAGCGAGGGAGCAAAGGAAAGGGGAGAAAAAGGCACCGTCCCGGGGGGACGAAGGGGGGCGGTTCGGAGGAGGACTCTGGGGCGGGGACATGGGCGTGTCCTGGGGCGGGCGGGAAGGCAGGGGCGTGTCCTGCAGGGCGGGGGCGGAAGGGCAGGGGCGTGTCCTGCAGGGCGGGACGGGAGGGCAGGGGCGTGTCCGGCGGGGCGGGGCGACGCGCTTCTCCACTCTCACGAGCTGCGCTCGGTCTTCAGCAGAACTCTGACAGGAGACCATGTCTACCGTGGTAGCTCAGTCGCTGCATGTTTTTGGTCTTCGATCCCACGTAGCCAACAATATCTTCTTCTTCGATGAACAAATCGTTATATTTCCTTCAGGAAATCACTGTGTGAAGTACAATGTGGATCAGAAATGGCAAAAATTCATTCCAGGTAAAACCCGTCCCATCCTGACGCATACATTAACGGTGTGTGCCACGTAATAACTCCATGATCCCAACATGATGATTGGAAAGAAACGTCTGTGGACCAACTTGAATATACACGTAGTTTTATCAGTGTAGGGGAAATACCTGTCAACTTGCATTATTTAACTATAGATTAATCAATCACACATACATAGTTAAAATCACATGCAGATGTTAATTTAAAAGTCCTTTTTTAACTGTAATTTCATGAAAAAATTACTTTAAAGAATCTCTTTGTATGCAGCTCCAGTATCATTGTCTTTGTCATCACCAGATCCACATTTTGAGTTGTCTAACACAGTTTTCCAGAGTACACCACCTTCACTACATCCCCTTTTGAATCCGTGTATGATGAAGACACTAGAAACTTTATTCCAAGTTACAAATGGCCATTTGTATAATGTTACAGCATTTGTTTTTGTTCACATTGGTCCTGTCTATGATATTCATGATTTCAACAACCTAATTCATTTTTTCCCATCCTTTGTTGCATTGAACACTTTCTGTTGTGACATATACATACAAAAGAATATATACTACATATGCATAATATTTTAAAATTACAATAAAATTAAGATCTGTGAACCAAACCACCCAGCATAGGAAATAGAACATTGCCAGCTCCAGTGCTTCTCCCTGACTGCATTCCCCTTCCTTCTCACATACTTCATCTTGGATTTTGTAATTATTCCCTCATTTTTCCATATAGTTTTGCCACATATGTGTTTAACCTTATGCAAGATATAGTTTTGGCTTTGCAGTTTTATATAAATGGAATCATAGTACATGTGTCCTGTGACTTCTTTTGTTCAGCATCATGCTTTTGACACTCATGCAACTTGATACATATGACTAAGTTCATTTTATTGCCATATAGTGTTCCATCATATGAATATAATGTCACAAATATATTTATCCATTCTAACATTGAGAGAATTTAGGAAATAACAGTTATTTGCTAGTACAAGCCATACCACTATAAACATTCTGTGTGCATACACACTCATCTGCTTGTGTAAAAATTCCCCAGGGTACACAGCCAGTGTTAAAATTACTTAGTAATATGTTAGTAGCAATCTATACTCCCATCAGGAGTGCATAAGAGTCCTCATTCCTCCCCAACATTGCCAACTGTTAGTATTGTCCAACTTCCTAACTTTTTGCTAATCTAGTGGTGCATTTCTCTGTTACTAATGAGGATGAGTATCTTTTCACATGTTTATAGGCTATTTCTATTTCTTTTTTGCTTTTTCTTTCTTTCTTTCTTTCTTTTTTTTTTTTTCTGAGACAGAGGGTCTTCCTCTGTCCCCAAAACTAGAGTGCAGTAGTGTCATCATAGCAACCTCAAACTCCTGGGCTGGAGCAATCTTCTTGCCTTGCCTCCTAAGTAGCTGGGTCTATAGGCATGTGCCACCATGCCTGGCTACTTTTTTTATTTTTTGTAGAGACAGGGTCTTGTTCTTGCTCAGGCTGGTCTCGAACTCCTGGCCTGAAGCCATCCTCCTACCTCAGCCTCTCAGAGTGCTAGGATCACAGGGTTGAGCCACCATGCCTGGCTGGGTATTTCTATTTAGTTTTATGTAAAATGGCTTGTTTAAATGGTATAGAAAAAAATCATTTTTCTATAGTTTTTTGTGGGAGTTTTTTGGGTAATTTTCTTACTGATCTATGGGCACACTTTATATATTCTGTATACTAATCATTTGTCAGATATATGTATTGTAAATAAGTTCTCCCAGTTTGGGGCTTATTTTCTCCCTCTTTACACTATCTTTTGATGGATGTAAATTATTTGTTTTAATGAAGTCACATTTATTAAACCCCATATGATATTCTATTGGAATAAACTGTATTAAATAGAGTTGATTTTTATTGATTGATTTTTATATCCAGTATATTTTCTAAACCATTATTAAGTCTAATGATTTATCTATATATTCTTCAGAGTTTTCTACATAGAGTATCATATTATCTAAAAATAATGATGGTTTTATTCCTTTTTCTTGTATTACTGGCTGGTAAGCACTTCCAGAAGGTGTTCAATAGGGGTAATGAAAATGAACATCCTTGTCACATTCTGATCATAAAGAGAATTCTTTTAACATTTTCTTAGAAAGAAGGATGTTTGCTGTGGGCATTTGTCAATGTCCTTTATGAAGTAAAGAAATTCTTTTCTTTTTCTGATTTGCTATGCTTCCCGCTCCCATGAACAGATACTAAATTTTATTGTATGTGTTTTCTGTATTTTATATAAGATCATTTGATTTTCTAATCAATCATTGTTTTATGCAGACAACATTAATTTATATTTGCTCTCATATTTCCCAAATTCTTTGCCCACCAGTGCTCTTTACAAATCAAATACTCCAGCTAGGATCATTTTCCTTCTGCATTTAGTCATAGTATGTTAGTGATAAACTCTCCCCAGTTTTTGTTTTTCTGAAAATGCTTTTATTTCATTCTCATTCTTAAAAGATTATTTCACAAGGTATAGAATTTTTGTCACATTATATTAATAGGTCTTATTCCATTGTTTCTTGGCTTCTGTTTTGTTGCTGTGGGTAAGAAATTAGCCATCAAGGTCTTCTTTCTGTAGCTGATCTGTCTTTTTTCTTTCTGGATGCCTTAAGATCTTCTCTTTCTCTCTTCTTATTATATATATACATATAGTATAGGTTTTATTTTCAATTTTATCCTCTTAGGGATTCTTTGAGATTCTGGATCTAAGGAAGGGTATCTTTCAATGATTCTAGAAAATTTTTAACAATTTCGACTTTGAATATAGCATCTTTTCTGTTCTGTTATCTCCTTTAGAACTCCAGATCATCTCACCTCCATCCACCATGGTTTTTTAACTCTTATTTGGATTTTTAATTTCTTAGTCTCTGTGTTGCATTCTAAATAATTACTTTAGATTTATCTCCTAGTTTATTGATTTTCTTTTCATCTGCATCAATCCTACTGATTAACGTATCCACTGAGATTTTAATTTCCGTTATTGTGCTCATGTTCTCACACTTCCTGTCTACACCACTTCTTTTCTCCCAACTGTCTTACATCAGGGGACTTTGCGTGTGTGTGTGTGTGTATGCGTGTGTGTGTGTGTGTGTGTGTGCGCGCACGCGCGCGTTCCCAGCCCATATATTCAAGCTCTACCCACATATCCTATAAACAACCACCGTTTGACCATCCTTCAGGCCCAGGCCAAGGGTAGAGACAGGCCTGGGAAGAACCCAATACTGGTCTTATCAACAGACTCAGGGCCATTTACCATTTGGACTGGAAATTCCAGAGTCCTAGGTACCTAGAACGTGATCCAGAAGAAGCTGTCGCTAACTCCAGGTGGCCCCTAGATTCCACTTAATGGAAAGGTGCACAGCCAGAGGAGAACCACAGCAGGGCACTCTAAAATAGAGTAGACCCAGGGAAGTATCCATGCTGGCCAAGTCTCAGGGAATTACTGGTGAAGTGAAAAATATAAAGGTCATGAAATTGGGAGATATGGATTTGATCTAGCTACCCATTTTATAAGCTCACAGAACCTTAGTCCCCTCATCTGTAAAATGGAGATAGTGCTTGGTCAGCTTGCTTGGCTCAGAGTCAAGATGAGGCTCAGATGTATTCATTTGTTCATTTAACAAAACGTTATTGGGCGGGCGTGGTGGCTCACACCTGTAATCCTAGCACTCTGGGAGGCCGAGGCGGGTGGATCATTTGAGCTCAGGAGTTTGAGACCAACCTGAGCAAGAGTGAGACCCTGTCTCTACTAAAAATAAAAAGAAATTAGTTGGACAACTAAAAATACATAGAAAAAATTAGCCAGCTATGGTGGCACATGCCTGTAGTCCCAGCTCCTTGGGAGGCTGAGGCAGGAGGATCGCTTGAGCCCAGGAGTTTGAGGTTGCTGTGAGGTAGGCTGACGCCAAGGCACTCTAGCTGGGGCAACAGAGTGAGACTCTGTCTCAAAAAAAAAAAAAAAAAAAACGTTATTAAGTACTTCCTATGTGCCAGGCACAAGACAGATACACACAAACACATACAAGACCTTGTCCTCATGGTGTTTCCTTTCTAGTAAGTGGGAGTGACAATAAACAAAAAGAAATACAATATGTACATTAATGATAGATGCTAATGAGGGGGAAAATGAAGCATGGACGGTGAAGCTGTTGGGAGAGTGTGGGGTTGTAGATGGGCGGCTGGGGAGGGCTCACTGAGGGCTGATCTGTGAGTATAGACTGAAGGAAGCAAAGGAGCTGGCCTTGCTGATGCGGGAGGGGCAGGGGCATAGCAGAGAGAGTAGCAAAGGCTCTGAGTTAGGAGGGTGCTTAGTGTGTTTGGGAATAGCAAGGAGGCCAGTGTGGCTGGAGGGGAGAGAAAAGAGGAATGGGTAGCAAGAGGAGAGGCAAAGAAATGATGGGGAACAACACACAGATCACA